TGTATGTTTGGATGAATCATAGATGAAGTTGGACCATTGAATGTGTGTTTGAAGCTCAAAGAAAATTTGGAAATTCTAGAATTCCACCTCACTGCTCGAGCGAAGAATTTATCGCTCGAGCGTAGCATGCAAGCAACAAGTACATTTGTAGATATTAAAGGTTGGCTCGAGCAACAAAAGTACTGCTCGTGCGACCACTCATATTTGGGAGCATTGGCTTGAGCGACCAAAATTAAGCTTGACCATAAAAATGAAACATCCAGCACTTTTGCAGACCAAGGGGTTCACTCGAGCGAACTGTCCTATTTTAGTAAATTTTGGAAATGTATTTTATGTTTCAATTTTCATTCTCTTTCATTTCTGAGCATTCTTAGGCATACAATGAGCATTCCAAATGAATTAAAGAACGCAAATGAAGTATAAGAAATTAAGCAAACTAAAGAACGAATTGAATTATATTATGACCCAATGTGTTGTGAATTATGTAGGGCCAATTGCAATGACGTATCAAGCATCTGAATACTTTGAGTAATATCCTAGTAAAGATATTTTTGTGTGCATTACTTACCTATGTGGTAAGTTTCTGAACTTATGAATTTGCACTCTAAATGAGTATTCTATTTGTTTGATTCGTAATAGAATCTATAAAGTGATTGATATATAAATACAAAATGGACCAAAGGTCGTTCGGTATGTTTGATAAAAAAAAATAAATGAAATAGGCCTAAGGCTATTTGGTATATTTGACAAGGATACAAATTTGGCCTAAGGTCATTTGGAATGTTTAGCAAGATAGACTAAAGGTCATCTTATATATGAATTGGACCGAAGGTTGTTTCGTATGATTGGTAAATGAACCAAAGGTCGTTTTGAATAAGGAATTGATTGGACAAAATGTTTTTTTTAATAGGAATATGGATATGATCATGATCATGAATACAAATATGCGCATAAATATGAATATAAGAATATTGGACCCAAGGTCGTTTGGTATTATGATATGAAGGACCGGTGGCCATTCATATATGGATCCATTAGACCTAAGGTCAGTCTATGAATGAGTATTAGACCCAAGGCCATTTTGTATAGATGGACCCAAGGTCGTTTTGCATATAATGGACCTAAGGTCATTTTGTGTGTGAGTTAGACCTGAGGTCGTTTTGTATATGGATATGATGTACTGGACCCGAGGTCATTTTGCTTTGATATTGATCTACAAGTATAGTTTATGGATTTTAATGTACTATGAATGGGAATAGTAGTTCAAATGTTTAAAATTTAAGTATGATTTATTTATGTACGAATCTCATTCATTAATCCCTTTGCTCTGGTATTATTCATTGGGCTTTAGCTCACCCCGTATTTATATGTATGTACATGAGCAACAGGATGTCTAGCCCCAGCCTTAGTGAGATTGTAAAGGTTACCGAGATTTTGGAGTCAGCCAAGGTTACCTCACATGCGAGGCTTTTGTTTTGATTTTCTTTTGCTTACTTTCGATGGTCATGTAAGACTAGGCTTGTATATAAACCTTGGTTTTTGGTTTGCCAGTTTTTGAATGGTGCTGGACATGTATAATCTATTATGTCCTATTGGGTGTGAGTTATTACATAAATGAAAAGTTTTTATTATCCCATATATGCACAACTCATTGGACAAAATCTACTATTCTACTTTTACTTCTACTTCTGCTTCTGGTTCTGCTTCTGGCCCCCTATTATTAAATATGACTTGATTTTAGTCTGAGGCAGTAGGCAATCTTATGATTACTGGCCAGTTATAATCCTAACCTATAGGGGTGGGATCGGGTTGTGACACATCTAGGCTTGATCTCAAATTCATCATATATCTTCTTAAGCAATTCGTCAGTTACTTGTTTTCATTTGATTTCTTCTATTATCGCTAGTTGTGCTGAAATTGCGGCTAATACACTGTCATGTTCATAAGGTACAACCTCTATTTCATGTGTTTCTAATTCTTGCAAATGCTCTCTTCTATCTATAATCAACCAGGCTAAAGTTCCAACATTCTTTCTGCTAAGTGCTTCAGCCACGGTGTTAGACTTACCGAGATGGTACTGAATTTGCAAATCATAATCTTTGATAAGTTCAAGCCACCTCCTTTGTCGCATGTTCAACTTTTTCTGTGTGAAAAAAGTATTTCAAACTCTGGTGATGTGTGTACACCTCACATTTTTCCCCGTAGAGCTAGTGGCACCAAATTTTCAATGCAAACACAACAACAACAAGTTCCAAATCATGTTTCGGGTAGTTCTTCCCATGTGATTTTAATTGTTGAGATGCGTAGGATATTACCATGCCATTCTACATTAAAACACAACCAAAGCCTTTGTAAGAAGCATTACTAAAAGTCACAAATCCCTCGGTACCTGATGGTAAAGTAAGGATTGGAGCTGTGGTTAGTCTTGTCTTTAACTCTTGGAATGCAAATTCCTGTTGGTTTGCCCACTCAAACGGTTCTCCTTTTCAGGTTAGTTGAATCAATGATACAGTAACTTCGAAAAGTCTTTGACAAACCTCCGATAGTACCCTGCCTGTAATGCCCCGAAATAATTCGACATGAACTACCCATAAATAGTCAACATTTTTCCCAACAACAACATTAATCTTCCCATCTTTACATAAATACTAATGAGTCTATACAAAGGTTTTACATGCGGGTATACATTCATCAATACAAACTTATGAATCTATAGCATGTAAGCATCCATTCTCAAAACAATACAATGCCCTTAAGGGCTTACATCTTCCAAGGCATAAGCCTGGTTACACAAAAAGATGCTTTCTGTGACCCATACACATTTTCCCTTGGCTCAAAAAAATTACACAAAAATAAAAGATTTATGTATTCTTCTCAAAACATCCGCGCCCTCAGTTCGGCGGGTTCACCACATCTTTATCTGCACCAAATCCCATAAGGGTGAGCACAAAGTTCAGTAGAGAATTCTTACAAAGTATATACAGTTATGCATACTCTTTAAAACATTGCAATTGTTAATGCCATGCCATGCATCTTTATAAGAAAGTCCATTTCATGCACCTTTAAAAGTTGCCTACCTTTCCAACAATTATTCGCAATCTCAACATTTTTACCAAAATTTCAATCATCAATCAATAGGGGCGGTAAATACGACGCTGGTAATCAATAGGCTGGTGTCTGCAAGTAGACACTACGATTACTACCAAACAGTCATTTTTACCGGTATTAAACGGAAGGCTCGACACCTATCCGCGCGATTTTCTGGTCTTTTACCAAGGACCCTCAGGCCAACTTATCAAATTCAACTACACCCCCTATTCGGACTTACCACGTATTTATCCCATTCACATTTCCATCATTCTCATTACAATATGATCATTCTCAAAATAAATGTCTTTCCAAAGTGAATTGAAATAATGAATTGAAATATGATGATTGAAATTTTGAAATATGATTGAAATATGATGATTGAAATGTCTCAACATTTTTACCAACAATTATTCGGACTTTCTTATAATAATGAATTGAAATATGATGCAATAATTACTATTCTCAAAATATCCCTACAACAATATCAATCAATCATTTCTCATTTCTTCCTTTCAATCCATTTCACGAAATGCCCATGTGTTCACCATTCCTCACATCAACAATTAACAACATTTTAAATAACCTTGCATGAATATCATCTCACCCATCATCATAATACAAAATAGTAAAGAGTTTCACAAATATTCCATGTATTTTCAAAATTTCCCAATTTCTAGGGCTTTTATCAAAAATCTAATATTTATCCACTTCAAGGTGAAAACTAACCCAAATCACATCTTATGAGTCAAATGAAAAGAAAACCCCTTAGAAAGAACAAAGGATTTGAGATTTTAGAAACCCAATTTGAAAACCCACTTTCTCTTTCTTCATTTAATGCAAAGTTTAAAACTAACACAACCACTTTATACCTACTTAAAGCCAACATTTTGTAGCAAAACATATATATATATATAACTCTGTAATTCCCTACCTCAAAGTAGAAGCCCAAGGAGAAGGGTTAGACAAATGTGAAGCTTCCAAAAATGGCAAAACCCACTTCTTCTTACATGGAAAAGAAGATCTTGAAGAGCTCAATCTTTTTATTTAAGGGAGGGAGGTGAGAAGATCACTAGATCTAGGCCAAATATAGAGAGGGAGAGAGAGGGTATTTCTATAGAGAGAAGCTCTCAACTTAGGGTTTGGATGAAAAAGATATGAAAAAGTTTTGTAAAAAGTCACTTTTACGATCTGATATATGTGAAGGCCGCTCGAGCGGAGAGTTTCACACTCGAGTGTCAGACACAACAACAACAACCCGCTCGAGTGCAAAGAGCACCGCTCGAGCGCTCAGACACACTCGAGCATAAGAAACGCAGCTCGAGCGTGAAAACACACTTGCATCACTTTCGCGGAGACACTCGATACGGAAAGGTTGCAAACTCCACTCGAGCGTAAAAAGTCCCGCTCGTGCGGAAGACCAAAATTTTGTGCCGCAAGATTTTAGACCGAAAGGAAACCAACCTCTTCTAAACACGCTCAAGTCATTCCAAAACACAAATTCAAGAGGTGTGAGGAAGAAAGGCATAACCGGCAACATCAAACAACAAGATTCGGATCCAGAATACCATGGCAGTCGGGTAGAGACCCGGGGTCGCTATAACCTCCCCACCATAGGAAATTTCATCCCCAAAATTTAAACAAAACATGAAACCAATGTTGTAACAATTTCAATCAATTCAACCACATTCTCAATTCATAACATTTATGTTCAATTATCATTTATCGTTCCTTTCATCATCATTTCATCAAAACCATACGTGCTTATACAAACATATAAAATAAGGCATCCATAGCAAAACATCATGCCTACATAACCTCATACTCAAGTTAACAATACATACAACAATATTTGATCATCAATTTAACACATTTTCCATTCACCATAAGGAAACATTACAATTTAAATGAAATCATGTAACATGCTCAAACAAATCTGGATACTTGGAGCGGACTTCCGCCTCCCTTTCCCAAGATGCTTCCTCAACCCCATGGTGCCTCCATAACACCTTCACTAACGGTATGGTTTTTCCTCGTAATACTTGTTCTCGGGTATCTAAGATTTGAATTGGCCGCTCTTTGTAGGAGGCATCCCCATCCACCTCCAATTCAACCCAATCTAATACATGAGAAGGGTCGGGTTCGTACCTCCTAAGCATGGACACATGAAACACATCGTGTAGTCCCGAAAGTTGTGGCGATAAAGCTGACCGATAAGCCACTTCCCCAATTCTCTCCAATATCTCGAAGGGTCCAATGAACCTCAGAGACAACTTCTCGCCCTTGGCAAACCTCATTAAACCTCTCCTAGGTGAGATCTTAAGAAAGATGTGATCACCCACATCAAAGGATAAGGGTCGTCTCCTCTTATCGGCGTAACTCTTTTGTCGGCTTTGGGCGTGGCTACTCTCTTTCGAATGAGAACAACTTTCTTGGTAGTTTCCCTAACAATCTTCGGTCCCAACAACGGTGCATCACCTACTTCGGCCCACCAAACGAGTGACCTACAAGGTCGGCCATACAAGGCCTCAAACGGTGCCATCTTAATGCTAGCCTGATAACTATTGTTATAGACGAATTCAATCAACGGTAAATGTCTCTCCCAAGACCCCTTCAGATCTAGGACACAGGCTCTAAGCATGTCCTCTAAAACTGAATGGTGCATCCTGACTGTCCATCGGTTTGAGGGTGATAAGCGGTGCTAAAAGTTAACTTGGTTCCCAATGCCTCTTGAAGGCTTTGCCACAACCGGGCGGTAAAACGAGGATCCCTATGTGACACAATAGTGACTGGCACCCCATGAAGCCGAACTGTCTCTCTAACATACAACTCTGCCAAGTGCTCAACTGAGTCGCTAGTTCGCATATGAATGAAGTGTGTGGACTTAGTCAATCTATCAACAATTACCCAAATGGCATCATTGCCCCGCTACGTTCTAGGAAGCCCAACTACAAAGTCCATGGTGACGTATTCCCACTTCCACTCAGCTATTGGTAAGGGTTGTAACAAACCCGCTGGCCTCTAATGCTCGGCCTTGACTTGCTGAGAAGTAAGGCACTTTGACATGAAAGATGCGACATCCCGCTTCATACCCCTCCACCAAAATTGACGGTTAAGGTCTCGATACATTTTGGTGCCTCCCGGATGTACCGTAAGGCGTGAGTGATGGAACTCCCGAAGCACTTCCTCTCTACAAGATTCCGGCACAAACAAACGATCTAGGTAACGTACACTCTAGTCTGAGTGAATGTTCAGACCCTTCTCTTCCTTTCCATTGGAAATTCTATCTTGAATTAACTCTACATCACGGTCTCCTTGTTGTGCCTCTATAACTTTGCTAATCAAGACAGGTTGAGCACTCAAGCTAAACAAGGTCGCACCTCCTTCTGATTCACCCAACCGCAATTCAAATTTGCCAGCTTCACCCAACATAACCCACTCCCGAATGGCTACATTCTCTAAACTACTCACGGTTTTTCAACTTAAGGCGTCGGCCACCACATTGGCCTTGCCCAGATGATAGTGTAACTCAAAATCATAGTCTTCTAAAAATTCCATCCATCTATGTTGTCTTAGATTCAAATCTTTCTGAGAGAACAAATATTTCATGCTCTTATGGTCGGAGAAAACCTCAAACTTCTCTCCATACAAGTAATGCCTCCAAATCTTCAAGGCAAACACTACAGCGGCTAACTCTAAGTCGTGGGTAGGGTAATTCTTCTCGTGAGTTTTTAATTGCCGGGAGCAATACGCTACAACGTTTCCCTCCTGTATCAAAACACAACCAAGCCCATCCCGAGACGCATCACAAAAGACTATATACTCCAATCCTCTCTCCGGAATGATCAATACCGGTGTCGTGGTCAATCTAATTTTGAGCTCCTGGGAGGACTTCTCACAAGCCTCACTTCACACAAACTTAATCCCCTTTCTAGTTAGTCTTATCAAAGGCACGACTAACCTAGAGAAATCTCTTACGAATCGAAGATAGTACCCCGCCAACCCCAAGAAACTCCGAATCTCAAAGACATTCCTAGGTTGCTCCCAATCTTGCACAGAATCTATCTTCGAGGAATCGACTGTTACTCCCTCTCTTGACATGATGTGGCCCAAAAACTTCACCTCGGTGAGCCAAAACTCACACTTCTCAAATTTGGCATACAACTGATGCTCCTTAAGCAAGTCAAGCACAATCCTCAAATGAGTTTCATGTTCCCCCTCGGAGGTTGAATAGATAAGAATGTTATCCACAAAGACCACCACAAAATGATCCAAGTACTCCCTAAATATTCGGTTCATCAAATCCATAAAAGAAGCTGGTGCATTAGTCAGCCCAAAGGGCATTACAAGGAACTTGTAGTGGCCATAACGCATACGAAAGGTCATTTTCTAGATGTCCTCCTCTCGGACTCTCAACTGATGGTACCCTGACTTCAAGTCTATCTTCGAAAAGCATCAAGACCCTCTGAGTTCATCGAACAAGTTGTCTATCCAGGGTAAAGGGTATTTGTTCTTGGCAGTGACCCGGTTTAACTTACGGTAGTCGATACACAATCGTAACGAACCGTCCTTCTTCTTCGCGAAGAGAGCCGGCGCTCCCCAAGGAGACATACTAGGACGAATGAAGCCCTTGTCTAAAAGCTCCTGGAGTTGAATCTTCAACTCATGCAACTCCGCGGGTGCAAATCTATACGGCGCCATAGAAATGGGTGTTGTTCTAGGCACTAAGTCAATGGTGAACTCAATCTCCCAGTGGGGTGGCAAACTGGTAAGGTCCCCAGGAAACACCTCCGGGTATCCACACACTACCCTTGGCAACTCAACTCGAGTTCCGACACTCTCACCATCCAAGAGAGTAGTTAGAAGGCCGCTAAGCTCGTTCCTACCACGAGGATTAAACACCGGTGATAAAACCCGATCAACCCTATCTCCCAAAAAATAAAAACAATCGCCTCCCGAAGTGCACACTGTGACTCTTTGCCGTAAACAAACAATCACATCCCAATACAACGACAACCAATCCATGCCTAGAATGATGTCGAAACTAGACATGTCTAACAACACAAAAGCAAACGGGAGTCTACGCCCAGCAACCTCTATTTCACAATCACGACATCCCCGATCTAGGTCAACTGTACCCCCAACCGGTGACTCAACTCTGAGCGGAGACGCTAACTGTACCACTTCTAACCCCAATGCAAATGTGAATGCCGCATATATGAATGAATGAGACGCACTCGTGTCTATCAACACATTGGCCAAAGAATTACACACAATAAATATACCTCTCACCACCGAAGGTCCTGGCAACTGCTCTGGCACTGTAACAGCATACACGCGCCCCTGTAGCCTCTGGTTAACCTGCTCATCCCTCGAAGCAGAGGCCTGCTGTACTGATTGAGCCGAAGCGGCTCCCTAGTGGACTCTCAAAGTCTAGATTGATTGAGTCTGCTGATGACTGTGGGTCTACCTCGACCCGAATACACTAGATGCGCCTCCCAACTGTGGACAAGCTCTCCTCATGTGCCCTAACTGACCACATTGAAAAGAAGTAGGCCCCTGCCCCCGACTCTGAGACTGGGACTGGCTCTGCGATCGATTAGGTGGTGGTGGTGGCAATATCTGCTATCCTCCCCCTTCTACGGACATGCAAAGGCCTTGTGACTCGGCTGGCCACATTTGAAGCAAGAAACCCCACTCAGTACACTCCTTCCCGAGCCCGTACTAGACAAGGGAAAGGTGGATCTATACTATTTCTACTGAGGCAGGGATGAAAAGGCACTTTTACTCTTCTTACTGGGCATATAATCTCCCTGCGATCCATGAATCCGAGACCTCGAATTTCGAAGTCTCTCCTTCTCGGCCTCCACTGTAATCTCCACATGTGCAGCCACCTCCACAAGGCGGCCATACTCCCAGATCATGTTCTTGGCAACCTTGAACAAAATCTTTGTCCTAAACCTTTGCTCAAACTCAAAGCAACAGCGCTCCTCCGTCGCTACCAACTCCGGTTTAAACCAGGACAACCTAGAAAAGGCTGCTTCAAATTCGGCCATTGACATATTCAACTGCTTAAGGTCCTTGAATTCCTGCCTCAACCTCTCCCGAGCCGTGGAAGGTAGGCACTTGTCTTGGAAGGCTATCACAAAAGCCTCTCATGTCGGTGCTATCCGGCCCTTCGCATACTTCCACCATTGGCCGATGTCACCTTTGAGGTAATAACTTGCAAGGGTCACCCTCAACTCGCCATCATCTATATGGAGCATATCAAAGGTCTTCACGGTTTGTTCCAACCATTCGTCCGCTTTCTTTGGATCGGGGCCGCCATGGAATTCATTCGGCTTAGCCCTTAAAAACTCCCACTTGAGGAAGCTAGCTCTAGTCTCGGCGACATTCTCCCTCACTTGGGTCTCTGCCCTCCCTTAAAATATTTATGGACTCCCTCAATGCCCCCGCCATCTCCCAGGCTAGAGCCCCCATTGCGTCTTGGTCGGCTTGCCCCGGCACCTCCGCCTGCCCCACCTATTCGGCCATGTCAGCTTGGCCTAAACCCTCTTCTTGTACAGGGACGCCTTGGACCGGCACCTCAAATACACCCCGGCGACCTCGACCTCGCCTTCCACCCCTACCACCTCGAGTTCGAACTGTTCCTGACATCCTAATTTAGAAACAAAGAAAAATAATTAAGCACATGATTCCAAATGTGCTCGACACTAACTTCACACGTTAGGCTAAAGCCACCACATATATCCTACTACACAAACAATTTAATTCACTCCACATAAGCACCTTAGCCACATAAACACATACGAATTATTCTTTAGTGATGAAATTTGTCCCATGAGAAACCAAGAATTCTTAGTAGAATGAGTGGTGATCAAGTACCCTTCTAAAAAGACCTCAAGGAAACTAATAGGCGCAAATAACATCTCAAAAGTCTGATCCCATGCCCAAATAGTCACATACTTACAAATAAACAAAACATTTCCTAAACCTGCGAAATGAACCCATTATGGTGTAACAACCGCTCCCCGCGAGCCCCAAGTATTCAAACCCGGTTGCTCTGATACCAAGTTGTAACGCCCGAAATAATTCGACATGAACTACTCATAAATAGTCAACATTTTTCCCAACAACAACATTAATCTGCCCATCTTTACATAAATACTAATGAGTCTATACAAAGGTTTTACATGCTGGTATACATTCATCAATACAAACTTATGAATCTATAGCATGGAAGCATCCATTCTCAAAACAATACAATGCCCTTAAGGGCTTACATCTTCCAAGGCAT